TCTGAACCCCGTCAACGTAAAACGAACTGACTATAAATTCGCGCTTTCATTTCATAGTGTTGAGCATTTGCTACCTCAACTGAATTTCAACTGCCGAGTTTATAAATCCAACTTAAAGGTGCATTAATTTTTGACGATGTTATTTTATTTAAATCTTTGATTGTTATAATAGCCAGATTACAAACCCTACGATCTTATTAGCGTGGCGTTGTTAAATACTTTTAATATAGTTTATTTGAGATTAATAATAATAGGTTAATTCAGCATATATGTTTATATTATTAAATTTAATTTAGCATTTAACTAAAAAATTGTACAGTAGTTTATACTTTCCAAATTTCAATTAAATTTAATTCAAATTTAATTAAAAATAAATAAATAATTCGTAATATTTTTAAAAATACATAAAATTTTAGATTCACATTTAAACTGCCCGCTTTTCGTACTACGTAGGCAATGCAGGTAACTATTTTATCGATTATGTCTGTCATAGTTCAGATAAGGCTCAAAGGTGTGCTACTATCGATCCTGGCTAAACACGTTGCTTATTTTTCACTATGGAAATGACATCTCTTTTATTTTATACATATTTCTCTATGATTAGAACTGAATTCTTTTTAAATTTTGGCCTTATCGTATTCGAAAGAGGGAATGATAAGTAGAACCAGATACTTTTTATATTTAATAAAGCCTTAAGCATATTTTGGAAACATAAATAAATAGTGTATATTATGGTTAAATTCCGCATGCCAATTGATGTCAGTGACGTTACTGTTCTCGTTACCGATAATTAATAAAAAGTCCATCGTCGATAAGAAAGTTACTTAACCTACAGTAATCTGTATGCGAATTAAAATTTACTGATAAGGTGATAAGGTCTGAAAATCTGTCTGGACTGAGGCAATACGTTAATTGAGCTTAATTCTCTGTACTTTTTTCGATATATCAACAAAAATAAAATTAAAAAATATATATCGCTATTAAAAATAATTAACTAAAAATTGATAATTGAGGTAAACAATTTACAGATTAAAACTATCAGAATTCAATTTTTCCTTGTAGAATTAACGAAGAATTTATATGTATCAGAAAAATGTTAAATAGATTAGTTATGGATTGAATATTATCAGCGACTTTGCTCATCTCACTGATAATACTGTTACTCAACCTAGAAACATACTGTCTGCAAATTTGAATTTGTTTTCGGTGGAACCTGGAAATTTACTTTAACGGAAATATACAAACCGTCAATTTATGTAATCGAACAGAATCCGCTAGTGCAAAATGTCCTTTGAGCCCGATTATCTCTATTTTTTTCAAAATCTTTAGTTGCGTTATTTTAAATAAAATAAATATGTACGTATATTCGGTAACAAAGTAAAATTATCTTTAAAAAAAATGCAGTCTGTATACAGAATACTTCTTAATAAATAATGAAATCTTTCTATATTTTAACAAATAACTTAAATCCATAAAATATTAAGTTAAATTTGTCTATACTATCCAAAACAAAAATAAAGAAACATGTTTATAAATTTAAAAAAGTTCAGATTAGAATATTCATATGACTAATAAAAAAATAATTCATACTAAAATTAGATAAATTGTAAAACATCTCAAACCAAACTGATCTATTGCACTATTCAATAGGTAGTTTATGTACTACTGATAATTGAAAATGAGGGGTCCAGGGAAAAAACATGATAAGCGCCATTTTCCTAATTTTACAGGAGAGCACTGGACGGCTGGCGGTTATCAAATTCTTTACGTGTATTTTATACTTTTACTAGGCATATATCATAGGATTCGATAACTTATTGCACTGCAAAGTTTATACATTTAGTAGGGACCAGTTAGACCTACTATAATGTAAAATCCTAAAATTAAAAAATTGGCGCTTATCAAGTTTTCCCCTGGACCCTTCAAATAAAAGTATCTAATATTGTTCAAATATTCATACGATGCAATAAAAAAATCAAAAGTTTTATGACCAAGTGAGCTGTCTATGATGAGAGATAAACAATTCTTATGAAAAATTACATTAGAATTTCATTAAGTATCAAAGACAAAGCTCTCTTAACCATAAAACTATAATGGTACGGTATATTTATTTTAGTTAGATGTTAATGTAATGTTTTGTGATTACTCTAATAGTTTGATTAATAGCAATGTAATAATTAATAGAACATCTTTAAAAATAGTTTAGCATCAATACAACACTGCATTTGAAGTTTTTATCTACTTTAAAAGAACTTTAAAAGTATTTTGGTGTATTTTGGAGAATTAATGTATTTATTTTGCTCTTAATTATTGAACTCCTTCAATAAATAATTAAATGTTATTATACTTTAAATATCTTCGTATAACTGATAAAGAGTAGACTAATAAACAAATTAGATAAATAAAATTGTAAAACATAGTATTCAATAGGCAGTTTATAATTGAAGGGTCCAGGGGAAAAACTTGATAAGCGCCAATTTCTTAATTTTAGGATTTTACAATATTATAGTAGGTCTAACTGGTCCCTACAAAATGTATAAACTCTGCAAAGCAATAAGTTATTAAATCCTATGATATGCCTAGTAAAAATATAGAATAAATGGAAAGAACCTGATAACCACCAGACGCCCAAATGCTCTCCTGTAAAATTAGTAAAATGGCGATTATCATGTTGTTCCCCTGGATCCTTCAATTGGAAAAAATATACAATTGGAAAGAAAATATTGTTTTAATATTCATACTAGGATTTCCAATTTTCGGGATCGGAATCCCGTTTTAAAATCCATAGAATGGGAAATTTATCTAAAGAAATACTTAATAAAAATGCAGCTATACATCAAAAAGAAAATGAGAAAAGAGCTTTTTTAAAATAGACAAAACAAAGTAACATTCATATTTAGTGATTAAAAAATTAATCCTTGTTGAAAAAATAAATAAAATATAGCAAACACGGAAATATACATACTGACATAGAAATTCCAAGTCAGCGCATAGCCTTATGAGAAATTACATTAGAATTTCAAGAAGATTCAAAGTCACGGATTGAATATAAAACTTTAATCACAGGGTATATTATTTTGGTAAACCCATTTCAATACGATTTGAGAACATAAGTTACAATAATGAAAACAATGCTTTTATTTGAGAAAAATAACGAATAACTTAATCAAACAATAATCGAAAATAGACCTGTTATTGTTTATCATTATGATTATAATACTCCTAATTGTTTTTCTACTTTCTTTTGAAAATCTCGCCTTAGCATAAAAATAAATATCATTATAATAAATAACACAAATTACAGAAGTCTCTAACACATTATTATAATTAAATACCATGTGATTAACGAGTTTTTTTCCATCAAGCAGGTTAATTATTGATTTTGGCACTTAAAAAAAGTCATATAATTTTCCAAAAAAAAAACCTAAATACGGTATGAACGAAAAAAAAACGGCGTCAAGTTGCCTCTCAAATGATAGCGATCCTTATTTCCAAGCCAGTACTAATGCCGTTTATTTTTTTTGGATCGTATATTATTAAACACTGTCCAATGAGCCAGGAACTGAAATATTTCGACAGAACACAACCAAAAAATGAGAGAAAATAAAATTTATCTGGAAAGTAAAATGACAGACAAATGTTACAGGCTACAGGAAGTGAACTTCTCGTTGGACAGACTTTAGTTAATATTAAAATTAAAAAAGTCACTGAGAACCAAATTTTTAATAAAATTGATTTAATATAAAATCTAATTCGTTAAAAAGCTAATATGTATAATTTACATTTATTCGTTTTTTTTTATTTTAAAAAAATGGATTCATTTTTTATTTTAAATTGATATAAAACGGACATCTTTCATACCAAAGGGAGATAGACGTAGACAAAAATGAAATATTTTTAAATAGGTATTATAAGAATATACAGTATGTCCCCTGACTTTTTTAATATTGACATTTTGAGAAAAATGCATTCTTCATAAAATTTTGTGCTTGTTCTAAAATGGTTAATCCCCTTTATACTATTCCAAATTTCCGTACCATTTAAGAGAACATTAAAGAAAAACATGAAAATGTAGTTAAATTTTTTCCTCAAAATCAAAGGGCATTTCTAAAGTAATCTAATTTCCATTTCATTCTTTGATAGATGGTTTTAATTAATTTTGATTATCATCATATTTTTTTCTGTTGATAAAGTAAGTATCACATTTTCTGATACCTATTATTGTCCTTTCTGTAGCATTGAAGTAAATAGATTTTGTGGATTTTGTGCTTTTTTAACATTTTAAAAAAGCAAAAAATATGACGCTAATTAAAATTATATCAATAACAATATATCAAAAAATAAAAACTAAATTATATTACCGTAAAAAACGCGTTTTGAATTTTAGGAAAACTATATTTTCATGTGTTTTCTTTAATTTTCTCTGAAACGTTAACAGGATTAACCATTTTAAAACATGCAAATTTTTTTATGAAGAATGCATTTTTCTCAAAATGTCAATAATAAAAAAGTATTTCCTCTTGTAAAGACAATCCGGGGACATACTGTATACAAGGGTACTATATAGGTAAAAATACTCATTAAAATTAAAAGTTATTTATCTAACGCTTTACTGGACATAATATTAAGAAAACATATTTCATCTAAATTTTTACCTTCTAAAATTCTCTATTATTATTTAAAAAGTAGTTTGGGAGCATAGTTTCTTAGTTTTTATTTTAAATAAAGAATTTTTCCCTGATATCTCGCTTACAAATTAAATTAAGCACACTAAGAATAATTTCATATTATTTCATATTGACAATGTCACACTAATGCATTTAACCACATTTAACTATATTTATTTCATCTGTAATATGAGACCGATCAATCTAAATAAGTGTAATTTTTCACTTTAGTGTTTTAATAAGAGAAAAAAGTGTTTTAGACTTGTGTATAAAAATATTGGCAACTTTATATTCTCAGAATTTACGAAAAATAAAAGTAAATTAAAACATTACCTTTCCAATTCATCTCCTAAAGGACCTGACAGATCTTCTTGGGTGCTGTTATAAATATCTTTAACTTCCAAGTCTTTCTTGTAACCAGTTTTAAAGAAAGGAAGAACCCAACTGCAAAGAATAAATTATGTAAAATATCTCTATAATATTTTTTATATCTGAATACACAGTGCATATTTTAATATAAATTAAAAGTATATTGTAATGTATACCATTTACTCACTTAACAGCTTTGTATTTGGTAATTTTTTACTATTTCCTTTAAGCAAATAGTTTTATACAGAAAATGTACATAACTGAATTCCAGTTTATAAATTTTCAATAATTGGTAATATCCTTTCATATATTTTTTAAGAATTAAATTTTAGTTTAAAAGTACATAAACTTTGTATTATAATAGTAAAAAATGTAAAGTATAAAGTCTGAAATCACTAAGAGGTTTGAAATTAATTATGAATATATGTAGGTAAATATTATATAGGCACTATATTATAAATAATAATTACATGTAAAATAAGATATATCATAGACAAGTATCCTCATTTAAACATCAAAAAAATAAATGTAGAAAATCACATACATATTTGTACTTTGGATTATTAATTGAAGTATAATAATCAATTTAATTTGACAAAGTATCTATAATAATATGAATTACAAATATGTATTAACAAAATAAATATTAAATAACAAAAAAATTACACAATAATAAAACATACGAGAAAACATATTAAAGAAAGCTATGGACAATTTAAAAAAAAATACAAAATAAAGACACAAAGACAAAAATATAAAGCAGATGATGTTACAAAATCCTATTTATTCAAAAAAATACCTATAATTTATAACTGAAAGAGTTATTTGATATATTAAGGATAATTTGATTTAAATATTAAATTGTGAATTTATATCAAGTTATATTATTAAATAAGGTATAATAAGAATTGACAAAAAACTAAACAATCGTTTTATTTAATTTTCGGTATAATTTTAAGAAGCTTTTATGTTATAAACTAATTCACTCATTCTGTTACTTCTTATACACTTTTTACTTTGTAGCAAAATAAACTTACCAGAAAAATAATCTGCTAAAAAAGTTAGCTTTCTCTTCAGGGCTCGGATTATTAAATTTTTTAGTCGAGTCCATTTTGAAGAGTAGGTATTACTAGAACGGCAGTAATACACAAACTAATTATGACCAGACCGAGTACTTGCTATTTAAACTGATTTTCATATTCAGGAAGCGATCATTTCATCTCAATTTCTGATAAAACTACCACAAGGTACGAGCGTGATAATTTCAAATGAAATATACAAATTCTGTGCAATTCCTAAGTTAAAAATAGAAAAAAAAACACTTTTATAGGCTGGAAAATTCAGTATAAAAGTTAGGTTAGAGATCAAGTAAAATGTCAGAAAGTTAATGAGCTACTGCTGACAAATTTTTGAAAGCAGAGTTTATTATCCATAGGATCGCTAATCTGTCATCATAATAAATCAGAGATATCTGGAATAAATATAAAATCTATTGTGTAAAAATATAATCTATCTTGTTTACCAAACTGGTAAAATATCTCTGTAAAATACTGAATGACGAAAACAAAATCATGACTACCAAAGATCCGAGAGAAATTTGTTTGCGTTACGCGTTACTATTAACTATATATGATTATACAAAAGATTATATATGATTATGACTATTAGAGATGAGTAACTATAAACCCACAGAACATAACTGCAACCTTAATTTTGAGTGGCAAAGTGCAAGGTGGTGCAAGATATAGGCTGGTATTTATAGTTGCATCTCGAGACGCCAAGACGGTCTTGGGCTCTCGAGAGCGGAATCCACAGAATACACGAGCAAACGTCATTTTGGAGATTGCGATTTTCATTTTGGAGATTGTCATTTTGGATAGTTTATGTGATCTGTGGATAGTTTCTTAACCTAACTTTTTTAGTAAACAAAATAAATCCCTTGTAAATCCGTTTTGTCTGATTAAACAGTTTTGAATTTTGAATATGTTAGAAGAGTTTGAGGATATTTTGGACCATGTAGAAGAAGAAAATCGTCTTCGAGTTCCAAAAAGGTATATACGGGATGCAGGAAATCCAATAGAAATGTTTAGCGAGGGTGAATTTAAATACCGATATAGGTTTAACAAGGCTACAATTACAGAAACTATTTTACCTCTTATAAATTGAAGACTTGCAAAAACCTACCAATCGTGGTTTACCCATTCTCCCCGTTGTTCAATTACTAATTTGTTTACAGTTTTATACGACTTGTAATTTTCAGATGGTAAATGGAGACTTGCGTGGTGTTAGCCAACCTACAATAAGCCAGATAATCAAGAATAATGCAATAATGTGGAAGTATTTCAAAATCGCAAAAATTTTTTTAGTCTAAATGTTCAGGTCCCAAAAGGGAAATTATGGATATTATAGTTGGATATCCAGGGTCAAGTCATGATAGTGTTATATTCAATCGAAGTAATTTAAGAATGCTAATGGAAAGGCGTGATATTCGTGATTTACTTCTTGGAGACAATGCATATAGATGTAGGCCAATTCTATTGACTTCTGTTCTACAGCTAGGTAATCAACAAGAAACCAGGTATAACTTTGCCCATAGAAGAAAGCGAAATGTTGAAAGGCTATTTGGGACTTGGTAAAAACGTCTTCCATTTCTCCGAGGTTTACAAAACAACTGTTGCTATTATTTGTGCAACAGCTGTTCTTCATAATATTGGTTTAAGGGAAAATTTAGATAATTTTGAAGATGCTAATTTACACATTCCAATTATAAATAAAAAGGAAGAGGGTTAGATTTTTGAAGAAATCTTATTCAACATTTTGCAAATTAATGTATTTATTGTATTAATATATGTATATCTAGTAATTATGTAATATGTTAAGTAATGTTCCAAGGTAACTAGTACCTATATAATAATTTTATTTACTTTTCTATTAGTGTTAAGTTAGTGTTTATATATTTACATGTAACATATTTTAAGTAATTTCTTATAGTCTATTATTAGTTATCATAAAAATACTGTTTTTCTATACTTAAATAACATATGATTTCTTAGTAGTTTTACGCTCACTATGACCAGACAGTTAAGTGCTTGTTTTAACTGGTCACACAGAATTTTCCCACTAATACATTAAAACTAAAAAAATTGTCTTTTTATTTTCTTCATCATGAATATTTATATAAATATCATATCACATAATATACAATATTGGATGTATACCGTATACCTATAATTTTCAAGATTTTATTCCTTGGTGTAAATTCTGTATTCTTATTGAGTTGACCACTCTATATAAAGTTGATACTCCATGTTTTATAGTTTTATTTAGAATAATATTTCACAATACACATTCTATGATTATTGCGTTTTTACTGCTTCCTTATTTCTTCTCGTCTAGATGACATTCTTCTCTATTCTTTTTTTTCTAGTCTGCTACGTAAATCAGTGACTGACAATTTTTGCCTTTACTTATAAATTTAATTTATTCTCTGACACTCGTCCAACCTGACTATGTCTTAGTCTCCAAGACTTAATTAACAAAACTAACTTAAAAATTACCTACAACAATAAAAAAAATATTCATTCTAAATTTATGATATTTAAAGATTTTAAAAATTTATGAAACTATTCAAAACTAAATAAACCAAAAGTAGTATTCATTAAACATTAAACATATTCTTCTAAATACTTCTGTTTATGTGTTTTTCTGTGTCATGGGGTAGAACTTGTGTCACTGTAAATAGTCCCTTATATTTAGTAGCACTTTTCATATAGACCATGTCTCCTATCTTTGTGATACCTTTAAATCTATATGTTTATCATAATTTTTTTATACTTCCTTTGTTCCATTTCTATATGTTCTTTGACCTCTTTTCTCAATTTTTCAGGTAATTGAATACTTTTCATTCTCTACCGTCAATAATCTCACTTATCCATCTTCAATCTTCGGAATATATCCATATAATAATTCAGGAGTTTTTTTCGCCAGTGGATTTATTCACAGATGTATTTATAGCTCTTTCTATATTCTTAATATATGTATCCCATTTGTTGTTATCATCTGCACAAGCTGAAGGCAGTATCATTGGAATAATAATGCTGTTCAACCATTTATGGTTGCATCATACAAATTCACCCAAATGTTCTGCTATTAAAATGGACACCCTCTTGATAATCTGGCTTATTGTAGGTTGGCTAATACCAAGCATGTCTCCATTTAATATCTGAAAACTACAAGTCGTATAAAACCGTAAACAAATTAGTAATTGAATAACGGGGAGAATGGGTAAACCACGATTGGTAGGTTTTTGCAAGTCTTCAATTTATAAGAGGTAAAATAGTTTCTGTAATTGTAGCCTTGTTAAACCTATATCGGCATAAATCCCCCCTCGCTAAACATTTCTATTGGATTTCCTGCATCCCGTATATATCTTTTTGGAACTCGAAGGCGATTTTCTTCTTCCACATGGTCCAAAATTACCTCAAACTCTTCTAACATATTCAAAACTGTTTAATCAGACAAAACGGATTTACAAGGGATCTTCTTCTTCTTTTTTTATGATGGCTCTGCTACAAGGCAACCGCCAGCTCAATTTGGGAGTGACCAAGATGTTGACTGGCTCTAAACCATATCAAGGCCACTGATTCTTATCTGAGTAAAATGAATAATGGGTAAATTTTAATATAACTAACTTCTATGAAGGTAACCTGTGACCTGTGACTGTAAAATGTTATTATTATTATTTATTAAATATATAAATGACGCGCTGAAAGGAAGATTATATCACACACAAAGGCACATAGGATAGAGGTCACACAAACAGACTGCATTCGGAAACTGAAACAAAAAGAAAATAAAAAATAGAAAGTTGAGCATTATAATTTAATTCTATTAATGTTAAAAAATATCATAATAGTTTCTATTAATTTTTCACTTGGCTTAGACAAAACTGTAAATATTGATAGTGGAGTAGGAAAATTCATTTCAATAAATTTTTGATATAAATCCAAATTAAACAAAAAATTTATAGGACATTCTAAAAAGATCTGATTTAGGTCTTCAACAGAGCCACACTCACAGAATGGATCTTCCTTCACTTTAATTTTATATAAATGGTTTTTTTTTTAAGCAATGGCCTGTACGCATTCTAATTAACGTTGTAATATGTCTTCTATCTATATACTGGAAATTTTTAAACCATTGTTTATCTGGGAAGATTGTTTGTGTATTAAAATACACATGCTTTTTTCTTCCATACGAGATTTCCAATTTTCTTTATAATTACACAAAATATCAGTTTTAATTGAATTAAAAATATCTATCGAATCCATCTCCATAGATTTCGGAATATTTAAATCTTTTCCAATATTAGCCAACAAATCTGCCTCTGTATTTCCCAAGATATTGGAATGACCTGGAATCCAGGCAATCCTGATGTCAAAACCATTAGAACTTGCTAAACAAATTAAACGTTTGGTTCTTAAGGTCCAATAATCAGCAGATGCTTTAAAGAGATTTTTACTAATTTTTTGAATTGAACTTTTGGAATCTGAAAAGATAATAACACTACGCAAGTTCTTTTTAATAGCAAACTTTACTGCATCATGAATAGCTATGGATTCTGCCTTACAAATACTTAAAGAACCAGTTAGTCGCGAAAAAAATTTAAAATTTATATAAGGAATATATATTCCAAATCCTGTTCTTTTATCTTTTTTAGATGCATCTGTAAAAATAAAAATATGAGAATTTTTAAAACGTTCAGATACTGACAAAAATTGTTCCTTAATAGAAAAATCATGTTTATTAATTTGACAATCAACTAATTTAATAGAATCATTCAAAATATTAAAACTAACTTCATAACACGGAAAATTTTGACTAACATAAAGATTATCAATATAAGGCAGAAAGTCATGTAAAGCTGAGACCACATAAGGTACATTATTACTATTAATATAAATTGGATTAACAGTTTTTCTAATATTGTAAATTAAATTTATTAATGGATTATTTTGTAAAGTTAACAATTTAGACAGAAATTTGCCTACAAGTATTTTTTCTTCTACATTCTAAATCAATCATAGAAGATTCTCCCAACAACGCTAATCTAGGAGTAGATTTCATACAACCTAGACAAATACGTAAACCCTCAAAAAATACTACATCTAGTTTATTTAAATTTTTTTGACTAGTTGGTTTAATAAAAATTGTTGCAAATTCCAAATGAGATCTCACCAGAGCAGAAAAAATAATTAAAAGGGTACAAGGATCAGCTCCCCACCACACTCTACAAACAGCCCTTAAAACATTTAAGGCTTTTTTAGCCTTATTAGTAATATTTTCAATATGCAAATCCCACTTTAAATGTTTTTGAAAAATAACGCCCAAATACTTCACATTATGTTTATATGGAATAATGTGATTTCCAAGTTGAATCAATGGTGGCTGATCTCTCCGTTTGCCCTTAGTGAACCATACTGCCTCACATTTTTCCAAAGATAAAGAAAGATCTCTATTAATAAGAAAATCATTTACAAGCTCCAAAGCATTATTAATTTTTTCAGACATCTCAAGTATATTTGAACCCTTAACAAAAATTACCAAATCGTCCGCATAACCAATAATCTTTACATTTAAATAATTTTTAAAAAGTTCTGAAATATAAATATTAAAAAGAATAGTACTTAATGGAGAACCTTGCGGAATACCTTTAGTTGCTAAAACCGGACCTAAGAAGGAACCATCAGATTTTCTGGAAAATAACAATCTATTTTTCAAAAGTATAAAAATTAAATTAGATAATTCTACTGGAATTTGTAAATTAATAAGCAAATTATAGAGTTTGTATATGTTAACATTATCATATGCAGATTTTATATCTAAGAAAACAGCAATAACTGAATTTGACGAATTAAAGGCATCAAAAATAAAAGTAGATAAATAAGCAATATTATCATATATTCCCCTACCCTTACGAAAACCTACCTGTTCATTTGTAAACACAATTTTATTCTCCAAAAACCAATCTAAACGATTTTTAATCATAATTTCTAAAATTTTGCCACCACATGAAGATAATACAATAGGTCTATAACTCTCTGGCAAAGTAGGATTTTTGTTTTGTTTTAAGATATTAATAATATTATATTTCTTCCACGAATCCGGTAACACACCTTCAAATAAACATTTGTTATATATTTTAAGAAGATAATTTTTAGCAATCAATGGTAAATTTTTATACATGGAATAAGAAATATCATCCATGCCAGGTGCAGAAAATTTTTTATCCTGAACAGCATAGTTAAATTCCTGACTAGTGAATGGAGGAATGTTACTATTTATATATGTTGGCGACAGTGTAAAATTCGGATCTATGTATATACTAGACATATTATATAAAATTTGTTGTTTTAAATCATCTGAAATGTTATAACTATTAGAATTGCTGTTATTATTAGAAAATTTTTTAATTTTTTCCCAAACGTATGAAATGCTAGATTCCCTATTTAATGTTTCACAAAAAGATTGAAATTTTTGTTTTTTCTTTGATCTTAATTTTTTTCTCGTAACTGCAATACATCTTTTAGCATTGATAAAATTAGTCAAAGTTGGAACATTATTGAAAACATTAATTGCTCTTTTTCTGTCTTGAACCCACTGAAAACATTCTTCATCCCACCATGGGTTTCCAATTTTATGATAAGAACCACATTTTTTCAAAGGAATGGCATCATCAGCAGCTCTATTCATAATAAAAGACAAATCATTATAATCTAAAATAGTACTATCTTTCTCGATTAACTGCACAGCTATTTTATGTTGATAAAGATGCCAATCAGCTTTACTACAATTTCGTACACAATAACTATTTACAAAAGCTTTTTTTAAATATAAATTGTTTGATAAATTTAATTGTAAAATTGTAGGATAATGATCGCTATTTCCACAATCACTAATAACTTTCCAGTTAGAATTTATAGCTAATGCGCTACTGACAATTGTTAAATCAACTGCACTCAAACTGGAATTCGGATTTTGCACAAGAGTTCTAGAACCATCATTTAAAATCACCATATCATTTTCTATAATAAAATTTACAAGCCTTATTCCGCCCCTATTAATAGGAGATTCATCCCATAATGGATGATGGGAATTAAAATCTCCCATAATAATAATTTTATTTAAATCTAAACCATCTAAAAGTTGTTTAAACAGATCTTCCGAAACATTTTTATCTGAATTAATATAAATATTAATTAATATTAAATCAGCAATTTTAATAATAATAAATTGAGCAACTTCTGAATTAAATTTTTTTAAATTAGAAAAAATAATATTCTTTTTGACGCAAATTGCCACTCCACCATATCCATCTTCCCTATCCTGACGAATTATATTATATGATGATAAAACAAAATTTTGATTGGATTTTAGCCATGTTTCATTTAGAAAAATTATATCTGGAGACTCTTCATTTGCTAATAAGATTAAATTAGCACGATTTGAATTAACACTACGAATATTCCATTGTAAAATTTTTATATCTGATGTAGACTTCATATTGTCATTAATCTAAATTATAAATACAATATATAATTATAAATAATATGTATAATATTTGTATATGTACCATATATGTACTAATATAAATGTAATCTTTAAATATGTGTTAAAATAAATAAAATAACATTAAAAACCTATATCTTGTTCAAAATCTAAACTTGAAAATAATAAATTCTTAATCTTGCTTTTATTTTCTCTTGACGTATTCATAATAAAATTAATGCAATTATGTAACTCATCATTTTGATGAAATTCAAATGTCTGAATGGCACTACCAGGCTCAGTTTTAGAATTATGTGAATTAGAAGAGGTATTAGAAGAGGTAGACGGTAAATTTGAAAAATCTTGCTTTTGCGGTCTTGAATTTGGAAAAAATAGACAATCATCTCTAGCTTTTTTATCCACTCCCTTATGAACTATCCTTTTCTTGGCTGAATTTTCAGATATAACCTGTTGAAAGGACCTTTTTACACTATTTTGGAAATACTGTGTTCTTCTTTCAGAAGGTTTAATAATATTATCAATTTTCTTTGGTATATCTTCCCCATTATGTTTTTTAATTAATTCTGGAAAGTTATTGTTGTTCAAAAAAAATTCTCCATTTGAAATATAAGATTTTTTACATGTCTCACTGGCATCATAAAAAGTTAAATTTTCGAGGGCCATTAATTCTTTAATATTTTTTTGTCTAGAATATTCAGGACACTTTTTTGATGATGACTTGTGGTCATCCTTACAGTAAAAACATTGTGTAACACAAGAAAATTTAACTTCCCCATCTTGTAAATGATTCTCCTCCTCTCCGCAATTAAAACATCTTTCTTTACCTTTACAATTGTTCTTAGTATGGCCAAAACGAAGACAGCGATAACACTGAGTTACAGGAGGAATATATACATTAACTGGACGTTCTAATCTATATAAATTTATCGATCTAGGCAGTATAATTCCTTTAAAAGTAAACAAAACAGTTCCAGTTGGTTCATATATAACAACATTATTTTTAAATACTTTTCTATTTAATCTCTTTACTTGTAAAATTTCAATTCCATTATTAGCTTTACAAAATTTCAAAATTTCTTCTTCGGTCAAGTCCGCATCGATTTGTCTTACAATTCCTTTGCAGGTAACAAAATTATATGGTATAAATATTTTATACCCTTTCTCAATTAATGTTTTATTTTTTAAAAAATTATTTGCTGATTGAAAATTAATAAATTCAACAGAGATTCTATTAGACCTTTATTATTAATTCTCTTTATATCAGTCAAATTTAAATTAAAAATTTCTCTAGCTATTTTTATGTTATTAAACTTTCCAATGTTATAGCCAACATTAACCGTCGATTCCAAATAAACTACGAAAGGACCATTATCATTTTTAGAATAAAAAATTGTTTTTTCATTTTTAAATTTTGACTGCGTTGAACCCAAACTAATTTCATCCACCATATCAACAGTATCAATATTAACATTTTGAACGCCATCCAGGGGGTATCCGCTCCCCCTAGCCTTACTCATATTTAAAAAAAGAAAATTCAAGCACTAATGAATGTATTATATACAAAAAATAAAAATATATAACAATATGAACAAATCAAAAAATTCAATTAACCTAACAAAAAAAAATAATGCTCAACTTACCACAGGAAGGCCTAAGGTAAAGGTGCAAAAATAATTAAAGCTTTCAGCGTTTTCTCGGCAAAAAAACTCTTAAAGATTTCACAAATATCAGAGCTGGGTCACCAAACAAAGCTGAAATAAATGTCCAAAAAACCGCAGTCCTAACAGCACTAAAATTAACTAAAAAATAAATATTTTTTTCAGACAGAAAATGACAATGTCACAAGCACCGAAAAAAGCGCTGCGATCTTGATTTACAAGGGATTTATTTTGTTTACTAAAAAAGTTAGGTTAAGAAACTATCCACAGATAACATAAACTATCCAAAATGACAATCTCCAAAATGAAAATCGCAATCTCCAAAATGACGTTTGCTTGTGTATTCTGTGGATTCCGCTCTCGAGAGCCCAAGACCGTCTTGGCGTCTCGAGATGCAACTATAAATACGGGCCATATAGACACGGCATATAATAGACTTGTATTAAACTAAAATATATAATAGTTTTTGGGCGTAAATAAATCTTGCGCCGTGGGCATTTTATGTTATAAGGCCAGAGACCCTAAAAATCCTACGTTTACCGTTAAACTGTAAATGACCGTTTTAATAACCTACCGACGGTAGTACCCTTGGGTAGTACCCTATTACCAGGCAATTTACGTTATAATACCCTAAAAATCCTACGTTTACCGTTAAACTGCTCTTGTTTACACGGCAACGCAACGGAAAACGTAACGTAGGTTTCTGCGTTACGTATACGTATTGTGCCTTGCTTTAACCCTGCTGTCTACTGTCTAATGACCATTTTAATATGGTTTTAATTAACCTACCGACGGTAGTACGCGATTTTTACTCTGGTAGTACCCTATTACCAGGCGAGATATAAGCTTAGGCCTTTAAATCAATTAAAAAGAAAAAGAAGAATATCTGACAGTTAACGCCGTTGAAAAAACTGTTTTTGAAATTTTAATATACCGACCTCTGATGGCTCTGATCCTCTCTGATCACGCTCTGATCCACTCTGATTATTGCATCATTGGCTCCTTGGCTCAAAGATTGGATCTGATACATTAGTTCTGTTATCTGCATGTTATCTGTGTCTGATACCGACCTTAATTATTTGCTTATTATCACATTATCACTTACTTTTTTATGTTGTGATGTTTTACAGATTTTAAATACATAGCTCTGTGCATCGTACATAAAGCGAATGAAGGAAAACGAAAAAACCAAGGAAAGAGAAATTAAGATAATAAAAGAATCGGTGTGATTTGGTTTGGAAAGTTGAATTTTGATAGCTAAATCGACTAATATCTAATACAGTTTGTCAAGATGAAGTGCGGGGAATGCACAGGTAAATATTTATAATAATTTTTAGTGCAAAATACGCAGGTAGGAGTTAACTGCGGTTACTGGCGGTTACACTAACACGTGCTAATCCCCTTATTAACGAAAAAGTTTACACCCAAAAAATCTACAGTATAAGACCATAAATAGAAGTTAACTTAATGTTTTTGAATGTATCAAGTACTAAAGGACGGCTTGAATCAATGTAAATATCATAAAAACTACCTAAAAACTTTTCTTTTAAAATTATTGAACAGAATATCTTATTCTTAGACGTTGTTGAAATGGACACAAGTTTAGGGTAATTATTGGATCGGAAATACTGGAAATCGTCTTTGTTCACAAAATTTGTATACGTCCTATTTTGGTATCGTAGATTACAAATCTGAATCTGTTTTTAGGCGATCTGTTGCCGTTCAAAATCCAAAAATATACTAAAATTTCACACGTTTTTGCTATTTTCTGTTGATTTTTTAACCAACTCATCCATACAGGAAAATTTCCAAAAACAAATTGGTAAACAATCTGCAGTGGGATTCTGTAAGCTGTAAGCTCCGTAGCAAGAAATTTCCTGTTAGGCTAAACAGTTTAGCCTATGCTATTTGTATACGATTGATGAGTCACTAGAATAGGTTTACAGAAGTTTAAGTCTTAAGTCTTTTAAGGTTCAAGTCTTAAATCATTTCTAAAATCAAAATGCAATTTAAGTCTTAATAAGTCAAATTCAACATAAAGTTCAAATGATTTAAGTCTTAAGTTTTGTGCATAAGTCTTTGATTTATTTTGTTTATTCTTACGTTTTATTTCAAGTCGAGTCATTTTTGTAAAAACTCTTATCAATATAACAATTATTTAAGTCCTTTTATGACTTAAGTCTATATTTTTGACTTCATCATGACCATAATGACTTCATCATGACCAAGAAAATAATCTACTATTAAGATAGATATGAAACTTAATAGTAAAATTTTGGGTCAAAGCGCCCCTCCGTGTTTTTAGTGGAGACTACGTTTAACCTTCACTTTTTCTGCTGTAAATGTTATTTATGTTTATATTTGAATTCAAAGGATTTATTTTATAGTTACACTGATATATTAGTATATCAGAGTAACTTTAATAAAACATAAGAATATATATATTTTACAATTTATTTGTTTATTTATTTTACAGAGTTTCATGTAAATAATCGTAAGTCGACTGGCTGTCTAATGAATAGACCGAGATTTATAGATTTTAAAGCGAACGAAAAAAAATCAAACAACGAATACATACCATATATTTTTCTTTTATCTGAGATACATACCTTATCATATTTTGGAAATATGTACATTTTTGCAGTTTTGTTAGTTTCTTTGCAAGATGCAACACAACAAGAAAACACCATTTTTACAGTTAATAAATAATAAAACTATTTCTGACTATGATATTTAAAATTTAGATAGATAGAAAATTAAAAAACATTAGTATTTGCAAACGCAGGCCCAAATTTAATAAAAATCAAAATTTTTCCTGCGAAAATCAGGCTTTTTTCACTGAAAAGGTATTTTTTGATTTATCAGCAGTCATTGACAAGTTGACAATATACAGGGTGTTTTCGAATTAGTCTAAAAAAATTATGGTGTGATTCCTCATGTGTTCTTAAAACAATTTTTATATAACCATTGGGTCTAAAGTACTTCCTTTCTGATCTACAGGGTGTTAAAAATTTAAAAAAATCGATTTTTTGCATAACATAAATGGTACACCACTGCTTTTTTAAAGAAAATATATTTTTTTCTTGACTGGCCATCCTTTTTCAACAAAATTGATCTTTTGAGTTTTTCTTGTTCATCAAACGGTTGTCGAGAAAAAAATAAATATACTTATTAAGAGCCAGCCTTAATTCGTTTTCTAACGATTTTTTATTTTTTAGATTAATTAGGAAACACCCTGTATATGCATATCACAGGCAACCAAATAAACTAGTAACCTCTAAAAATTATTTTTCCTACCACTAGCGACATACCGTGTTTTTAGTGTGTACTAAATTATTTTATCAAAATTTCACCATATAAGCATAGCATATAAGTTTCCAGGCAATGATCAAGACTTCATGATGATCTGCCAGTTAAGTCAGTAAAATGACTTAAATCAATATAATTACCCTCAATTCAAGACAACCAGAATTCAATTTAAGTACCTATCTTTTTTAAATGTTCCTAATATTAATTTTCTCGTATTACCAATTAGCGATTTTCTTACTAGTATCTTATTATTAATTTCATATATTATTCATTTATTGTGATGAGACTAAAACCACATAAAATAAAACGGTTAATTTTCAGAACAACTACAAACACAAAAATATGTTTTTTTTTATAAAATTTAAACGATTTTGTAGTACTTACTACCATTACAGTTAAGATGTCATCGAATACATGTCTATTAAAATGGAGTGATGTTTTTTGATCACTATGTAATGTAACGATGGCATAAGCTAAGGGCTGGAGGATTGTAAGGTACTCTTAAATATATTCAAGATAAATTTCTTTCATTCGTCTTTCTGGCTACATAACGGAGTCCGAGATTTACTTGAAAGACAACAGACTCGCTATACGTACGCGTAATATTACAAAAAATCAAAACCGGTTTCGAAAAAATAACGTTTCATTTGCTAGTGGTATTGAGCATTGTTTTTTTTTATTCTGCTGCTCCGCTGCCGCCTATCAGTTAAAAAAGGAGTGCTGCTGTTAAAAATTTATCATAAGTCATTTTGAAAAAGACTTAAATTTTAAGTCTTAAGTCAGCTTTCGACGAAAAAACTTAATTCAGCTTTCTAAATTCTTAAGTCAGCTTTCGACGAATGACTTAAAATCGGTTATGTAACGGTTAGTAATGGCCGTAATTACAATGCGAACAAATGGTAACATTCGCTAGAGCCGTTTCGGAACGCATTAGGTCACCCGTCTAGTTGAGGTGTTTCCATATTTTTATTGATTTATAGCGAATACCGCCGCGCCGGCCGAATTGGCCGGCCGTAGCGCAAGCAGTAGTGTCTCGATCTGCGGTGCGAGAGATGGAATGGTACTGGGTTCGATCCCCAGCCAGTACGGTCGCTTTATTTATTTAAATAAATTTATTTATTTATCTAAATTTATTTATTTATCTAAATAGAGCGACCAGCGAGCCGCCACCTCAAGGAAGGCAATGGCAAACCACCTTGAGTATATTAGCCTTGGACAGGGTGGGTCAAATTCGACGCTTTTAAATGGAAACACCCTTTTCTATAGGAGATTGACAAAAACTAATATCGGTGTCTGGAGCTCAATTTTTGTCAAAAACATGATGGTAAAAACCGCATATCGATATATGTTACCGTTTCGGAGTTACGGGATGTTTTTCAAAAATATGCATCTTTTATAAATCGCTGTAACTTTTTTGCTATGGAAAATTTTGTATTTTTATGAAAACATTTCCAAAGCACCTTTTTAGTATTAGAATTTAATGGTTTAAGTATATATTTTTTTAATGGGATCTTGGTTAGCTATTCTGGGATCTTGGCTGAGATCTTGGTTAGCTATTCAATTTTCTTGAAATTGGCTGCAAAAATTTGCTGATAACTTCAGCGTTCAGAGGCGGTGCGTCGTCTTGCTGGAAAAATATGTTTTCGAGTTCCATTAAGGGCATATCATCAACAAGGGGTCCAAAGCCTACTAGTTAAAAATGGCGAACTTTTAAAAATTCTGTATTTCGATGGGGATTGTAACAAAATATCAAGTGTGCTATATTTTTGGAAAGGTAATTTTAAATTCTTTTTAGTTAATTAAAAATATAGAGGGTGTCCCAAATAAAAAATCAATTTTTCTGTTGATAACTCTTAAATTATTAATTTTAAAAATATTATACTTAAACCATAAAATTCTACGTAAAAAGATGCTTTGGAAATGTTTTCATAGAAATACAAAATTTTCCATAGCAAAAAAGTTAAGCGATTTGTTAAAAAAACACATTTTTAAAAAACACCCCGTAACTCCGAAACGGTAACAGATATTGATGTGCGGTTTTCACCATCATGTTTTTGATGAAAATTGAGCTCCAGACACGGATATTAGTTTTCGTCTATCTCCTATAGAAAAGGATGTTTCCATTTAAAAGCGTCGAATTTGACTCACCCTGTACAGCCTCTCAAATAGTGCCGTTCGGATTCGGCGATAAACTGTAGGTCCCGTGTACTTGTCAAACACTGATGACACACATCAAAAGTACATGCGAGATGTAGCCGACGCTCTGTATAGAGTCACTGTAAGAAGATAGCGAATACAACTGGTAAATTAAGTTGTGCCCCCGAGCGGAACTAGAACTAACCTCGTGCAAGAAAAAAATTACACTACGCAAAAATTGCATCGCGCAGCATGCGCATTATTACTATATGAGGTAACAGCTGGACTCGGTGCAAAAAGTGCCAAACTGGTTCTTCAATGGTATTTCAAAAATTGCTGCAAATTTACCAATGGTTTTTTAAAATGGCACTAGAGGCGCACGCAATGACTAAAGAATACAAGGACATCTAACGCCCATAATATACGGGCTGCAGCAGAATTTGTTACGTTAGACGCCATCATTTTGGAGCTTACGGATGAGTCACCACCTCGTCAACAGCGACAATTTTAACGATTTTTAATAATTTGTTGTGTGTAGTGAACTTTGTATAAACTTTATTACAATGGTGATGTGTTCAGCTTTCAAGTTTAATAGCTGCAACGATAAGAAAGAACCAGAAGTTGCGTTTCATAAGTAAATAAACAGTCCACTTCTGTTTAGCGTTTTCTTATTGAATTTGGTAATTATTTTTCTGATACTAAGTGTACTTGATATGTGCTATACGTCAATACTAGTTTTGTACCTTTTGTTAACATTTTAATTCGTTGTTTCGCGCGTAATTAATTATTATGATACCATCGCCAGCACCATAGGCGTAGTTAAAACATTTATCAAAAATATAAATATCCCTTCAAGCAGCTAAGTTAA